TCTCTCTCTCTCTCTCTCTTTCTCCTAAACTCACCAGCTACTACCAGAGACTTACAAGCGATTGTATGTTCCTCACTGTGGACATCAAGACAGGTAGGCATATTGATTATTTTCATGGATTTCATTTTAGATTACTGTCCTGACTTCTGAGTGTGGAAAAGAAGTGGTCAAAGAACTGGAGGAAGGGTTGAAAGATATCAACCTACTTAGCGTCAGAAGACTGCAGGTGGTTGAGGTCATAAAAGGCATCCAAGAGCATACAGACTCACCATCTCCTATTGAAGAACCCAGCAATGATGGTAAGAGTTCTTTTTACTGTTTCCTTTGCTGGTCTTGACCTAGCAATCCTCCTGCCTCAATTTTTTTCTTTTATGTTGTGTCTGGAGCGATTAAAATCACGTGTTGCCCTTACAGAAGATTCAGGTTTAGTTCCCAGCACCCACATGGTGGCTTGCAACTGCCTGTAACTCCAGTTCTAGGGGATCCCATGCTCTCTTCTGGCCCTGGTGGGTACTGGATATGCACGTGGTACACAAACATACATGGAGGCAAAACACCCATATGCAATGAAAATAAAAGAAATAAACCAGGTATTCTTTTCAAGGAAAGAAAGTAAGGTATGGTGGTCCACACCTGTAATAGAAGTATTTGTGAGCTGGAGGAAAGGAGGGAGGCAGGGAGGGAGGGAGAGAGAATGATCCAAATTTTCAGAATTTTGTAACAGAAAGCACTTAGAACAGTTCCTGCCACAGATAAATACCATGCCCTGATATTAAGAGTAGAATAGAAGCATTTGTAGTGCTTTTCAACACACCTGTTACTGAGAAAAATTCAAATTCTAGTAATTTATTGTTTTATTAAAAAATAAATGACCATCACAATACTTTTCATCTTAGAAGTCTCTCCCATGACTTGTTGCACTACTCTCCCCGTTGCACTACTCTCTCATTGCACTACTCTCCCTGTTGCACTACCCACCTTCTGTGCATTGCCCTCAGTTGTGTGGTCACATTTACGCTGCATAGGCATACTCTGTGTGGTTTTCTTGTTTTCATCGTTACTTTAGTCCCTGACTTGCCCTGCTCTCTTCCTCAGTTCCCTCTGCTTCTCCAACAATCCTGTCTCTCATAAGTCTGCAATCTCTTACGCAGTTCTCATGACCCTCCTTTTCTGCTTTTTATCTATTTTTTGCTCCTTTTCACTTTTAAAAGAAAATGAGGAAGCATTGGCCCAAGAAAAAGATATAAGGGAAACACTTGTGCTTTTTTTTAAACCCTATTTTCTCTGTGTGTGTGTGAGCCAATCCTGTATCTACAACAAATTCTTAATGATCTTAATCAGTTTAGGATCTCGTAAATCCTGCTCATCCTAGTACCCAACATGAACCTCATAGAAGAACTGTAAAGCATGGGAACAATGTTGCTGTCTTCTTTTGAGATATGTATGTGTTGCTGTTATTTTTTTTATTTTTCATTTGTTGTTAGTATGTGAATTTGCACATATGTGTGTGCAGGTGGACACATGTATGTGAAAGTTAGAGGACAACTTTTGAGAGTTTATATTAGCATCCACCTTGTTTCAAAGCAAGATGTCTCTGGTTTCTGCTGTTCTATACACTCCAGGATAACTGGTGTGCAAGCTTCCAGACAATTCTGTCTGCCTCCTAAGAATGCTGGGACTACAGATGGGAAGCCATGTCTTTCTGTGTGTTCCAGGGATCAAACTCAGGTTGTTTGGCTTGTGAGGCAAGTGCTTTTACCCATTGAGCTACATTTCACCCCGGAAATAAAGTTTTGCTTTCCTATTTGCTGCAGTACTGGAGATCAAAGTCAGTACCTTGCACCAAAGCAAGCATTCTACCACTGAGCTGGATCTCTATCTAGCTCCTTAGGAATAAGTCTTGGGTGCTGGAGAGATGATTCAGTTAAGAGTACTTTTGCTTGTGGCAGTCTGAATGAAAATGGCGCCCATAGACTCATACATGTCGTAAGCTTAGTCCCCATTTGATGAATTGCTTGTAAAGGATTAGGAAGTGTGGCCTTATTGGAGGGGGTATGCCAAAGCCAGGCCTCGTCTTTCCATCCATCTGTCTGTCTGTCTGTGTCTCTCTGTCTCTCTTTCTCTCCCTCTCCCTGTTGCCTGTGGATCAAGATATAAAGCTCTCAGCTATGCTCCATTGCCATGCTTATCTGTTTCCCACTGTAATGGTCATGGACTCACCCCCTGAAACTGCACGAAAGCCACCAATTAAATGTTTTCTTTTATGAGTTACCTCAGTCATAGTGTCTCTTCACAACAATAGAACAGTAAGTGTCATGGTTTGTATATGCTTAGCCCAGGGAGTAGCATTATTAGGAGATGTGGCCTTATTGGAGTAGGTATGGCCTTGTTGGAGTAGGTGTGGCCTTGTTGGAGTAGGTGTGGCCTTGTTGGAGTAGGTGTGGCCTTGTTGGAGTAGGTGTGGCCTTGTTGGAGTAGGTGTGTCACTGTGGACATGGGTTTTAAGACCCTAGTCCTAGCTGCCTGGAAGCCAGTCTTCTGCTAGCAGCCTTCAGATGAAGATGTAGAACTCTCAGCTCTGCCTGCACCATACCTGCCTGAACACTGCCATGCTTCTGCCTTGATGATAATTAACTGAAGTTCTGAACCTGTAAGCCAGCCCCAATTAAATGTTGTCCTTTATAAGATTTGCTTTGGTCATGGTGTCTCTTTTTTTTTTTTTTTTTAATTTTTTATTTATTTATTATATGTAAGTACACTGTAGCTGTCTTCAGATACCCCACAAGAGGGTATCAGATATCATTACAGATGGTTGTGAGCCACCATGTGGTTGCTGGGATTTGAACTCATGACCTCTGGAAGAGCAGTCAGTGCTCTTAACCACTGAGCCATCTCACCAGCCCGGTCATGGTGTCTCTTCACAGCAGTAAAACACTAAGACAGTATGACAATGTTCTTCCAAAGGACCCAGCTTTGGTTCCTATCACCCACTTTGGGCAGCTTACACCCACATGTAAATACTGCTCCAGAAGATCCACGGCCCTCTTCTTGCTTCCTCAGGCACCCACGTACATATGGCATACATTCACACAGTCACATACATATACATAATTTTTTCATAGAAGAAAGAAATCTCACCAGGGATACCTGTCTTAGTTATGATTTTATTGCTGTGAGAAGACACCATGACCACAGCAACTCTTATAAAAGCAAACATTTGAGTGGGACTGGCTTGCAGTTTCAGAGCTTTAGTCCATTATCGTCATGGTGGGGCACAAGGCAGCATGCAGGCAGACATGGTGCTGGAGAAGAAGCTGAGATTTCTTCATCTTGATCCAGAGGCAGCCACTGATCATGAAGTGAGCGTAGGAGACCCGAAAGCCTGCCCTCACAGGGACATGTTGGGGATTGGTTCTAATGCTTTGAACTAATCTGGCCCTCCAAATTGGGAATTTGCATGTCCAAATGCTGAAGGTCCAATTGGTTTTTGATTGATCAATAAAGACCTAACAGCCAGTGGCTGGGTAGATAGACTGAGGCAGGAATTTGAGATATGTGCAGACTAGGAACCAGGAGAGAGGAAGAAAGCAGAGGTTGCCATGATGGGAGGAAGAAAGACCAACTTAAAGGCCCCCTAGCACGTGAGCATCATGGAAAGTGGCCACACAGGCCACTTCTCCAATGAGTGGCCACTTTCCCAATTGTGTTTGGGGTAGCAGAAATGAAATACAGATTTCAAAAGATGTTAACTCTGGAGTGCGGAAGGGGAGTGTTTGCGAGCAGCAGGAAGGATTAGAAATGCCCACTCATTAAACTAGCCAAACAACAAAAAGTGTGTGTGTGTGTTTTTTTTCCTGGGCACACAAAACAGTTAGCTAAACTTCACTACAGTGACACACTTCCTCCAACAAAGCCACACCTACTCCAACAAAGTCACACCTCCTTGTAGTACCACTCCCTATGGGCCAAGCATTCAAATACATGAGTCTGTGTAGGCCATAACTATTCAACCACCACAGGTACATATTATGATACTTCTTGGGGGTTTTAAAGCTTCACTGGTGTACCTTAAAGAAGTTAGGTTTGGATGGAAGGAACATATTGGTAGAAAAACATCAATATCATTAGAATCAAATTCAGTTCTCCCCAAAGTGGTCAACTAACTCATTCCAACCAAAATCCTAGCTGAGTTTTCTGTTGACTTTGTTTTGACTTGGTTTAGTTTTTGAAACAGGGTCTCACTGTGTCATTCTGGATAGTGTGAACTTGTGGCAGTACTCTTGCTCCAGCCTCTTGAGTGCTCAGCTTTCTTTGTTTATTTTGTTCTGAGGCAGAGTCTTGCTTTGCAAAACCTAGGTTATATGTAACCTAGGCTGCCCTGAAAAGTCACATTCTCCTATGTCAACCTCATAAATTCTCATCATAAATTAGATTACAGTTGTGTGCCACTATACCTAGCTCACTTTTTTTTTTTGGTTGTTTTCGAGACAGGGTTTCTCTGTGTAGCCCTGGCTGTCCTGGAACTCACTCTGTAGACCAGGCTGGCCTCGAACTCAGAAATCCGCCTGCCTCTGCCTCCCAAGTGCTGGGATTAAAGGCGTGCGCCACCACTGCCCAGCCCTAGCTCACTTTTTTAAATTAATCTGATGAGCTAATGCTACGCACATAGGCATGCACACATTCATGTTAAGGCACATGTTAAAGCGAAAGGTGTAAAGACAATTCAAAAAGTTGTAAAAGAAGACAGTATTGGGGCTTGTCATACCGCCCAATCACAGATCCTTTGTTTCCTATGCATGATGCTCTGGGTTTAACACCCAGCACTGCAGAAAATAATATATAGCATCATACGGACACACAAATAGACCATTTGTCCTGTCTAGAACAGATTACTGAGCCCAGAAACAGAAAGTCACATGAAAACTTAATGTGTGGTGTGACTGCAATGGAAAGACAATGAAAAAAGACTAATGTAGTTACTAAATCATGCTAGAACAATTAGTATTCCTTCCAGGAAAAAGAGAAGTTAGATCTCTACTTTATAAAATTTAAAGAGATTAAAAACATAAATATGAGAGAGAAAACTTTTAGAAGAGAATATATAAGAAAAAAACTTAATGACTGTAGGTGAGGAGAAGGAAGAATTTCCTAAGTGAGACAAAGTCAGCTAGCTAGCTACTAAAGACTGAATAAGCATCACTATATTAAAAATCAGAATTTCTATTTGTTAGAAGACACCATAGGAAAAGGAGTCAGAAAAATCACATCTATAGCTCTAACTCATATAACCAGTAAGGAG